CCATACTTGTGGTTGAATTGAGAAATGTTTCCTATAGTCTTAGGCATCTGAATACTTAGTCCCCAGTTGCTGCACTGTTTAGGGAGGTTTAGGAGGTGTAGCCTTGCTGCAGGAAGTATGTCACTGGGGGTGGGCTTTGGTTTTAAAATCCTCTTGCCATTTCCAGTTCACACTTTCTGCTTTGTGATTTTGGTTGAGATGTGAGCTCTCAGCTTCCTGCCTCTACTGCCATGCCTGATACCATGCTTCTCCAAGATGCACCCTTAGCTTTCTGGAATTGTAAGCCAAAAGAAACTCCACCCCCCCTCCCCCCGTAAGAATCCTTGGTTATGGTATTTTATTGCAGCAACAGAAATGCAGCTAATGAAATGCCCAATAACAAAATACCTCTGTCAGAGGCAAACTATTTCATGCTATGGCTAAAATAAGACAGAAAAAATATCTCTGGGAGACTTAGAACACTGATGTAAATTCATATCAAAATATTAATAAATCATACCCAATGCCTTTTTGGATTAAAAACAAATAACATTGAGATAGGATCAAACTATATAGCCTAGCTGGCCTCCAACTTGCCTCCTACTCTGCCTTGTGCTGGGGTTATAGGCATGCATCACTACTCTGGCTCTCCGCTTTTAAAACCCCCGTCTCTCTCTCTGTGTGTGTGTGTGTGTGTGTGTGTGTGTGTGTGTGTGTGTGTGTGTGTGTGTAGGGGGGTTAAGACTGGAGATGCGGATTTCAATTTCTATTTAATTTAAATTTTTGCCTAGAGCTGCTTGTGATGCTAAACTCCCATTTTCCTTTATACCACATATAATTCATGTATCTAAATAGGAATCCTGTCTGCAGAATAACATTGTAGACTCAGACATTGGACTCCCTAAGAATATTTATGCCCTGGACTGTTGAGTTTCATATTTTTTCTGGATATTAACATTCTATAAAAAATAGTTTCTCTAAAATGTGATTCTTCTAAAGAGACAGGATTGAGTGAGCTCGCTTCCACTGTGGAATGCCTTGTTCAGGAGCAGAGGAAAAGCTGTGGTACAATGTCCTTTGCATTGTCTCTGTCATGGGACAGCTCCTGGATACATTACAAGTCAGGTAATTTACTTTATTACCTGTTATTTACTTTGAGGCCCTGGAAGAACACAGTCAACTAGTGACTGTCTTACACGACATAGAACATTGAGGTTTCCTAGAAAGGGCCCAGTAATGGGGTTTTGGAGTTCTGTTACAAGGCTTGGCAGCTTGCCTGTTTTTAAAGGGAGGTTTATTTTTGGAAACCTGTGATCCTCTTGTTAGCCTCAGACTCCTTTGCTTGTAGGTGTTCCAGAGAAACCTGAACCTTGGTGAGGCTATTTTTATGAAGTCTCTCACTCCCTCCTCATCCCTCCCCCAACTTGCTTGTAAAGAGAAATTAAGTAAAAATAGGCTTAACACAAGTGTACCCTGATCAATTTAACTGACTTCAAATCAACAATTCATTGTATTCTATTAATGAATTACTTTATTAACTCACTTATTTGGCAAATATTCATTGTGAGCTTACTGTTGGCAAGTGACAGAACTAATGTGACTCTTTTTTTATATGACAATATTCCAATGTGAAAGCATCTGTGTATACCCATACGCAGGTGAATGCCAGGTTGAAGTCATAGCAGAGTTCATACTGTCTGTGATGAGATAGACTGGGAACTAAGTCAGTTCATCAACAGGGGATTTATAAACTCAACTTCTACAAATGCAAAGCTTTCTATGTGTTGTTATAATGCAAAGATTGTAATGTGCGTTGCATAGTAACCTCCCTGTTACTAAGTGAAAATGAATTTTGAATTCAAATGGCTGACTAGTTATATACTTTGGGAATAGGTTCTGCATTGACATTAGAGGCTATCCTTTATCTCCTCAGTTTACAAATGTAGTTGCTGAAAGAACATCACTACTTACCTTAGACAAACACAATAATTCTTTTTTTTTTTTTTCAAATTAAAAACAGGTTCTTCCTCCCTCCATCTCCCTTCAGCAAAGATCAGGCCTACAAGAGACACCAACCAAACAGGACAAGACAAAATACAGTAAGACAATGCAAAAATAAGTTTTCCTAAGGGACAGAAAATTGTTGTTGCAATGTCAGCGTTTAGGGTTTCATGCAAATTCAGACACTTGGTGAACAGTTAAAGTAGACTTCATAGCTCTTTTGAAAGCAGTCAAGAGGCTTACTGGTGAGGAATGGTAATTTTCTAATAGGAAGTGCAAGATACTCGAGCATCTCGTGACTGTTCATTGGAAAGGAGTTAAGTTTGGGACTCTGAGTTTTGGCCTTGAACCCTTGCAAGGCAGTGGAAAGCAGGACACTGAGTCTTCATCTGCACAGGAGTAACTAAGACACTTGGACACTAACGGCAACGACAGACCAAGCAGAAAACCTGTCATTTCCCCAGCCAATGCTGTAGACTGATGCTCAGAACTACCAGAACACATTAGCCCTGGAGACTGAGTAAAGAGCATAGGTCTTGAGCACCCTCAGGTTCTCGGGTGCCCCACCCTTGAAACACCGTGATGCTCACTAGAGAATCCCACAATCTGGTAGTTTTCTGTTCTGCCCCCAAAAGTCACCACAAACACCCCCAAACCCACAGGTTTATTGCTTCCTAGTCTGGAGGGTCAGATATCCAGGTTGTCCCGCCTGAAGGAAAAGTCACAGTAAGAGCCACCGGGAGGGAGACTCTGGAATCTGTTTGCTCACCTTCAGTTTCTGGGTCCTGCTGTGTTCCTCAGGCTATTGTCCCTCCCTGTCTTCACTGTTATCACAGAAGAGTCTCCGCTCTGTCTCCCGCTTCTGTTATTGCCTGTCCTCTCATGCCTGTCTGTCCTGCAGTTAGAGAAGGCCACCTGGGCAACCCAGGCCATTTCTTATCTTGAGATCCCTTGGTCCATCTGTGAAGTTTATTTTGTCACAGAAGCTAACACAATCTCAGTTTCTGGGGATTAGGGCACTGTCATGGTGTGTGTGTGTGTGGAGGCGGGGGGGGGGGGGGGGGGGGGGGGGCATTCCCTTCTGTTTTACATTCAGCAGCTCACTCCTGCTGGGGTCCTGGAGATTGAAGGAGGCATTCACCCAAGGGGACAGTTTTCAAGAGGCACTACACAGTAACAAATCCACAAAAAAAGAAACACAAGCCAGTGATCAAGATAAGCAATAAAACAGAAGTTCAGACAAAGTCCATGCTGGAAACAATTCCGAAAAAAACCTGAATGATGATTGAAAATTTTTCATTTCCGTCGGGCTGCAGTATGACTCAGCATGGGGTGACATCCATTGCCACTAAGTACAGGCATCTGATCCAGACTGGATGCATGAGGCATACTGGCATTAAGCTTTGGAAAGGCCAACGGAAGGAAGTAGGGATCTGGTATGCACTTTTCAAGTGGGCTAGGTTGGGAGACTGACAACTCAGAGCAGGAGAAAGGATGACTAGCCTCAGAGGCATGGGCCGCTCACCAGGTCCTTTGCTCTGAGACAGTGTCGGTGGCCTGTGGTCCCCAGTCCTGTTGTCTTTCAGTTCATTCTCCAAAACATGTGAAGATTCTGCAAGGTAAGTACTGTCCTTTACAACACCCCCTTTCTGTACACACAGCCAATGTACTGTTATTTGCCTCTAACAACCCTGGATAATTTAATTTATCACAGAGAAGAGCACCTGATGTGGTTGCTTTAGCCACGGTAATGTGGCAGGCAGACTTCATTTCAAGAATGCATGACATGCATAACCAAGGAAATAAAGCGTAAACACGTGATCTCAAATCCCCTTTTAATATTTGCTGGAATACAAGGATTCATTGAGTCATCCAATATTTCCCTAGTTCCAAATTAGGGCCTCCTTAGTGATAAGAAGGTATTGGTTTCATCTCTGTTCACTGATTAACAGATCACTTCCAATTTGAATCACATTTGAGACATTGGAAAGACCTTTATGATTTGAGACATGGTTCATCTCCTACTTCCTCTTACATTTTCTGGATATTCTGAGATTGGTATAGAATTATTCCTGGTTTCAATATTTGAAATTTCCATAATATACTTTCTGGTTCTTAATTCAACTGTTTATTTTTTTCTTAGAAAGGTTGAAAATGAATGGCATTGGGAGAGATACTTGTCTTGTATAACTTCATGCTCTTCTTTTGAAATCTTTTCTTTAGAGATTCCTATCTTCTTCTCTAAGCTTATTTAATTGAATATACTAGATATGAAAATGAACTAGTCATTGAAAAAGTAATAATATTTTTAATCACGAAACCGATTACTGATGTCAGAGAGAAGTTTGTTCCTAGTAGGACGTAGCAGGTATAAGACCAGCAAATGTTAGCATCACCAAGCAAGGTCCCTGAAGTGAAGTAGACAGGCAGTGCCTTTTCTGGAAGTTAGGTCACTGTCTCAGGCTTTGGGACAGTTGGGAGAGCAATGGCATTTGGCTGAAAACTGCTCTTGGCCCCCTCCTGTTTGCTGACTCATTTTCACTAAAGGGAAGCAGTGGTTTACACATGCAAAAACCTAGCAGTGCTGGAGGCTGGGGAGAAGGCTCAGATGACAGGACTGCTGTGCTCTGCAAGCGCAGGACCTGACTTCCAACACCCAGCTCCAGCTGAAAAATCCAAGCCATCCCAGTGTTGGGGGCTGGAGAAGGCAGATCCTGGGAGCGTGCTGGCAAGCTAGCCTAGCCTAATCAGCGAGCATCTCTTTCAGTTAGACACCCTGTCTCCAGGCAATAAGGTGCAGAGCAGTGAGAGAGGTAATTGTCTGATGTCCTGCTTAGCCCAGCAAGCACGTGCAGGCGCACATGCACACTTACGTGCATGCAACACACACACACACACACACACACACACACACACACACACACACACACACTGCACTCTCTCCTACACATACAACACACACCTCTCTCTCTCTCTCTCTCTCTCTCTCTCTCTCTCTCTATATATATATATATATATATATATATATATACATATATATTCAGAAACACACACACCACACATAAATACCACATTCACATACACACCTCCTTCTTATACCCTCCCATACACATACATATAAACACAAACTACACACACATAAACACACACTATACATATCACACACACACTGCACACAGCTACATACATACATAACACACACACACACACACACACATGCACACGCGCGCGTGCGCACACACACGCACAAAGTGGTTCCTTCTAGCTATTATTCATCATTTCTCTGCATTCCCAAATTTCCCATGATATAATTAGCATCCCACAGTTTTATAATTGAATGCTTTCTTTAATTTCTTACTTCACAATTCTTTATTCTTAAATGCAAATCTACTCTTCCTAGTTAAGACTTTGAAAGCCAAGCCTTGGAGATTTTGCTTGTAACGTTTGTAATATCTACAACTGTTAGGCACCTTGAGAGTACCTGCTGTGGTTTGGAACTGTCCCCCAAAGACTCTGGTGCTGAGGACTCATTCCCAATCTTATTATGCTATTGGATAGATCCAAGAGACTCATAAAACATACAGTCTATTGATGTTGTCCCTGGTTTCCTGAGAGGTGAAAGGAAGATCTCTATTACTGAAGGAACAATGTACTTCAGAAACAGGACCCCAAGACCCCTGAGCTGGAGTTGACCTGAATGGTTCTTCCCCTGAGGACTAACTTTCATGCAACTGGGATGTTCAATGCAAGCTTCCAAAGGACGGAGGCCAACAACAGTCCTTCCCAGGTATGATGCCTAAGAACTACATCAATGACTAGCATGGCATGATAACTCTAAGGGCAGAGTGGTGGTATGCATACTTTGGCATAACCAACAAGATTAATTGGATTCAGGACTTGCTCAACAAGAAGGAAATGATGCCTGGTACTAGAAACCTAGTTAGAAATTCAATGCTAGTGAAGTCATGATTATTGGAGAATTTCCAACCACTAATTTACTAAACCAGTGCAATCCTTAACAATAATCCATAAATGTTTGTCCTTATACCCACAGGTAAGTGTGGTCTTCACCCCTATCAAGGAAACCTCTTGCAACTGAGAGCACTACAGTAAACCACAACCAAGCAAAACGCAGAGTAGAGGAGCCCTGTCCCCATGGATACATCTACAAAGCACTCTCACGAGACCCCAGGCTCAGGGAACACTGCAGGAGAGGGGCCTGAAGGAAGGTAAGAGCCAGAGGATTAGATTTGCTGTGAGATTGTGTCTCCTAGTAACATCAGAAGCTACAGCCGTAACCTCACCAGTGTGACTGTAGGACATGAAATGAACCAAAACAACACCAAAGCCCATGAGGCATCAACCCTAGAAAGAACTACAGGCCACCGAGGAAGGCTGGAAGTTACCGAGGTGGCCCTCCCCAGGGAAGATCACACGAACTGGTTGTCCAAAGACGGGCCTGAAAACAGACATTCAAATAACATTATGCAGACCAAACAGGTTCTATTTAGGAACATGTCTTCTATACATTTACAACTATGTATGCAATAATGATTAGTGAAAGAAGAGGCCGTGAATTTGAAGGGGAGCATGGAGAGGCATATGGGAGGGTTTGGAGGGCGAAAAGGCAAAGGAGAAATGTAGTAATTACGTTGTAATCGCAAACTCTTAAAGTAAATATTTTTTTAAATGTGAGTATTGCGTGATCTGCCCCCACTCTCTGATCCCGTTCCTTGTAGTCCTGCTTGCTATCTCCTTCCAGCCTCCCACATTTCTCACACATGCCATGCTGCCCCTGTCTCAGCACACCGCTGCTTTACTGGTTTCCCTAATTATAAACATGGCTCCTCCTCTTTCCTACTCTACAGCCCCTCCTGTCAGAATGCCTTTCCCAGTGCCTGCGATGCAAGCCACTGTTTTCCTCTAGCGTTTCACCAGAGCTTCATCCAGAGTCCAAACGGGCCGTCTCGACCAACCCTGTGTCCTCAGCGTGTTAAACCATGCCTCACTTCATTTTACATACAGATCGTTTATCAGTAAGTGAAGTTCTCCTTCTAATCTTTAAGAATCCATCTAGAGGGAGAAAGCCGACTCTAAGCAAGCACATGGTTTTAATGTGGAGGAAATAATGAGACGAGACCGAACGCTAAAGCAGTTGTAGTGAGATAAGGCATGAGTCAGGAAGGAATGTAGGGATGTGACTGCAGTGTGTGCGTGACCCAGGAATCTTCCAAAAGCAGCGATTTGCCACTGACTGACCAATCCTGAGTCCGATAATGCCCCTTGGATTATGGCCTGGGAAGAAGCCTGGAAACTACGTGTCGTGTCATCGTTCCAGAAGGTTCCAGGAGATGCCTTGCCAGTTGGAGACTCTCCCATGAGATTAGATGATGATAAGAGTGTAAACCATTCCTTTCTGGGTTCATCAGTAGCTTCAGGCTCCCTCAGTGCCTGCGATATATTCTGCCTCAGGGAAAGCCACCAACCTTCAGGCTCCTGAAGAGCAGGTTGGATGGGTAAAGACCCGCAGCAGGGCCAGGAGCAAACGGCTCTCAATCACTGACAACATCTCCCTTCCCTGCTCCGCCAACCATTTCAACAACTTTGTAATCTAATCCCCTCATATTAAATACTTCTCTGCTGGGAAGATTTGAAGTGATCTTTCTTTATTTCCTTGACTGAGTCTAGGCTCACAACTGCCTGCCTCCTACCATGGCAGTCCCGACCTTCCAGGCATCCATACTGTCAATTCAAGGCAACTTCATCCCTATTCATTAGCTCATATTCTAAATGGGAAAACTTACCCAGGAGGGAAGAAAGCTGCCCCGTGGCTACCTTCAAGAAAGCCCTTTCAAGGACGGCAGATGGCTCAGTTTGTGAAGACACAGCTTTGCAAGGGTTAGGACCAGAGTTCAAACCCCCAGAACCCATATGGCAATATAAAAAGCCAGCTGCGGGGGCACATACTAATGATCCCACTATGGGGGAGGCAGAGAAAGGTGGATCTCTGGGGCTTGTGGGCCTGCCAGCTGGGCTTTCTTGGTGAGTTACTAGACAGGGAGACACATTTTCTAAGAAAAAAAGAAGGTCTTTTGCTCTTGGAGGGAACACCATTAGCCCAGATGAGAAAAGTTTGCTGAAACTGTATGTGTATGTATACACAGGATTATGTGTTTCATAGACCTTTTTCAGGTAATTAGTTAATTGGGTGATTCCTTGTGGTGTTTTCAGGCATTCTTACTGTTATTTGACGCCCCCTGTTGTGTGTTTACCTCCCTCTCCTTCCCATTTTCTTGATCAGATTCCTGCTATTCTTTCCCTAGTCCTCCCCATCTGCCCTAACTTTGCTATGGTCCCTTTTTACTTTCCTGGTCTCCTACACATCTTTGGTATTCCAAAAAAAAAAAAAAAAATTATCTTCTATCTGTGCAGATGCACATTTAGCTTCACTCTTTAAACCCAGCACCCACCAGACCAAGCACTCTGACTTTCCCTTCTACATTTCAATTTTGCTCTGCTCTCCGATAAGGGCCTGTGGCTGCATTATTTTTTCCTCTTTATTAAATTGCAGAGACCACTTGCTGGAATGATATATAGATTGGTTATTCCCAAAGGCTGGTTGCCTTAGCAACAAGGCAAATCTTAGTCATTTGAGCAAAACCTTATCAGAAAAAGCAGTCTTACAAGAGACTAATATTCACATCATTAAATGTCTGCTCTTTCTTTGCTAACTGTGGTCATTCTCAGATTGTTAATTAGAAGGGCAATTAATTGAATAAGTCCCCTGGAAGGGTCACTAAGAAGGTGTGATAATAGAGAACTTCTCAGCAGACACACTCGGCAGCTCCAAGTTACCATATCCTTTTGGTCTGCTAATTACAACCCAGCCAATTTTTATCCATACCAGGGATATGCATTCGGGGGCTGTGCTGAATGTCTGCCATCCTTTGTGTCTGGCCACTGTCCATTGCCTAACAAGCCCTGGGCCATAAGGAAGTAGAATTTGAAAGGAGAACAGAGTGTATCTGGTTTTGCCAACCCCAGTCTATGAAAAAGCAGGTATGTGACTCCCTGAGGGAAGAGAGGGAGAGAGAGAGAGAGAGAGAGAGAGAGAGAGAGAGAGAGAGAGAGAGAGAGAGAGAATGAAACAAAACAACAATAAAAAATCTATCCTCAAACCTCTCAGCTTATAACTGAAGAGACGACACCAATGAAATAAATTATCTAATTGATAACAAAAGAAATATGGGAAAGAAGACTGTTAACAGTGGTTATATCTTTTGGGTAAAATATGTGTGTGAAACTTAAATAAAAGGCTTATATTACAGCTTCTTAGAGAAATAGCATATGCCCACATGCACGTGCATGCTCGAAACACACACACACACACACACACACACACACACACACACACACACACACACACACAGCTGCATGCACACGTATTGATTGGTTGGTTGAGACTCGCTTACATAATTCTGGAGGCTGGCATGTCTGAAAGTGGCAGGACAGACATATGGGCTGGATCCTCACAGGCTCCTGTTTTCACAGGCAGGAGTTCTCTGCTGCCAGCACCGCTGGAGTCTGGATCCATCCAGCCCGCTCTTCAGGAGCCTGTGGAGGTCAGTGGTTCCTACCGCTCAGAACAAGAGTTTGGCTTTGACTCAGATTTGGAAGGGCATCCCCTCCTGCTTTGCTTAAACACTTGGTATTAAAAAGAAGTGGACTCTCAATACAAAAGAAAGACTGCAGTTGGAATAAAGACCACGGTAATTACTCTGGAACGTTTTCATCATTTGTTTTCTTGATGATAACACTTTTGTATGGTAAAACAATACAGAAGTTTTTGTATGGGAAAACTGGAAAGAATGGTCATTAAGTTCAAACATCATAATATACTTTATATAGTACTATCAAATTGGAAAATAATCTTATGCTTTGACAATGGAAAACTATTATCTTGGATAAAATTAAAATCTGTTTAATTTAAGGATTTTTCAGTTAAGGTAATGCTTTGGTTAATGTATATGGTTTGTTTAAAATAAACGATGATTGCCTTTAATGACTGAGTGGGTAAATGACTGAAAGCAATGTATTAACCAATGCTGGGGTTTGGCTTCCCCTGTCATGTATGTGTGTGTGTGTGTGTGTGTGTGTGTGTGTGTGTGTGTGTGTGTGTGTGTGTGCTTAGTTGTCAGTAACTTGTCAGTTGCCTCCATTAGATAACCTTCACTTGGACAGTTATGTCTTAGATGCCCGGGTAACATCTTTCCTGTTATGACTGGTTTGAATATGAAGTTCCCCTCAGAAGGTTCATGTATGGGTTGAAGAATTGGTGCCCAACTGGTGGATTCAACCCTTGAGAAATGATTGGACTGTAAAGGATCCAATCTATCCAGTGGTTGACCCACTTGATGAAGCCATAGTTTGATGGCATTGGGAGGCAATGTTAGGAAGTGGGGCCCACTTGGAAGAGACAGGTCACTAGAGGGAACACACCCTGGGATGGTAAACCTTGCACACACACCCCTTCTCTCCTTCCTCACTGCCACAAGGTGAGAAACTCTGCCTCACCATGACTTTCGTCATGACGTTTGCTTCCAGCTCAGGCCTAAAACAATGGAGCCAGTTGACTATGCACTGAACCTCTGGAACTTGGAGCTACTTCCTCTTAAGTGAGTTCCTTGAATATCTGGAAATTTGTAGTTAACATTCCCCCATTTGAGATAGTCTTTGCTGATACTGGAGCCACTATGGTATCACTCATTCCTAAGGATGGCTACACTGAGATACTTTTATTCATCAGCACTGTTAGGTTACAGTACTCAGTTGTTCAATTAAATACCAGTCTAGGGGTTTTCTGGGGGAAGTGTTTTGTAAATATGATTAATTACAACATGTTATTAACACAGATAAAACACAGATACCCAGCTGGTTTTGAGGGTCATAAGAATGAAAGTTGGGGATCTTGAAGGAAGAAGAAATTTGACCACATTTTGTTTTATTAAGAATTTTTTTAAGAAAGCGCCATATTGATTTCCAAAGTGGTTGTACAAGCTTGCATTCCCACCAGCAGTGGAGGAGAGTTCCCCTAGCTCCACATCCTCTCCAGCATAAGGTGTCTTCAGTGTTTTTGATCTTAGCCATTCTGACAGGCGTAAGGTGGTATCTCAGAGTTGTTTTGATTTGCATTTCCCTGATGATTAGGGATGGCTATACCACTCTTGGGCATATACCCAAGAAATGCTCAACCACACCATAAGAGCACTTGTTCAGTTATGTTCATATCAGCATTGTTTGTAATAGCCAGAACATGGAAACAACCCAGATGCCCTTCAACTGAAGAATGGATAAACAAAATGTGGTACATATACACAATGGAATACTACTCAGCAGAGAAAAACAATGGCATCATGAGGTTTGCGGACAAATGGATGGATCTAGAAAAAATCATCCTGAGTGAGGTAACCCAGACTCAGAAAGACAAACATGGTATGTACTCACTCATAACAGGATACTAGACATGAAACAAGGATGACTTGTCTGCTACTCACATCACCAGGGAGGCTACCTGGAAAACAGGACCCCAAGAAAGACACAGGGATCACCCAATGACAGAGAAATGGAATGAGATCTACATGAACAGCCTGGACATGAGTGGGGGTAATGAAAGGCGAGGGTTGAGGGAAAGAGAGCTTGGGGGAGCGGGAGATCCCAGCTGGATCAACAACAGAGAGGGAAAACAAGGAATAGGAGACCATGGTAAATAAAGACCACATGAGAATAGGAAGAAGCAAAATGCTAGAGAGGCCCACAGAAATCCACAAAGATACCCACACAACAGACTGCTGGCAGTGGTCGAGAGACAGCCCGAACTGACCTACTCTGGTGATGGGATGGCCAAACACCCTAATTGTTGTGCTAGAAACCAAACCTCATCCAACTACTGAGGGATCTGGATGCAGTGATCCATGACTAGGCCCCGGGTGGATCTCTGGGAGTCCAATCAACGAGAATGAGGAGGGTTTATATGAGCGAGAATTGTTGAGACCAAGGTTGGATAAAGCACAGGGACAAATAGCCAAATGAATGGAAACACATGAACTATGAACCAATGGCTGAGGGGTCCCCACTGGATCAGGCCCTCTGAATGGATGAGACAGTTGATTGGCTTGATCTGTTTGGGAGGCATCCAGGCAGTGGGACCAGATCTTGTGCTCATTGCATGAGTTGGCTGTTTGAAACCTGGGGCCTATGCAGGATTGTTTGGCTCGGCCTGGGAGGAGGGGACTAGACCTACCTGGACTGAGTCTACCAGGTTGACCTCAGTCTGTGGGGAAGGCTTTGCCCTGGAGGAGATGGGAATGGGGGGGGGGGGTTGGGGGGAAGGTGAGGGGGACAGGATGGGGGAGAACAAGGGAATCCGTGGCTGATATGTAGAACTGAATTGTATTGCAAAATAAATTAATAAAAAAAAAAAGAATTTTTTTTATTCATTTTACATACCAAAGATCCTCCTCTTCCCTCCTCTGGCCCCCCAGCCTGCCCCTCCAAACCCACTCCCCTTCTCTCCTACAAGAAGGTAAGGCCTCTTATGAGGAGGTACATTTAGTAGAGGCAGGTCCAAGCACCTCCTCTTGTCCCAAGGCTGTATGAAGTGTCCCATCATAGAAGTGGGCTCCAAAAGGCCTGTTCATGCACCAGGAATGGACTCTGATCCTACTGACAGGGGGCCCCCCAAATAGATCAAACTACACAACTGTCTTACTATGCAGAGGGCTTAGTCCAGTCCCATGCAGGCTCTACAGCTGTTGATCTAAATTTCATCAGTTCCCACTAGTTTGGTTCAGCTGTCTCTGTAGATTTCCCCATCATGGTCTTGATGCCCCTTGCTCATAGAATCCCTCTTCTCTCTCTTTGACTGGACATCCAGAGCTCGGCCTGGTGCTTGGCCTTGGCTCTCTGAATCTGTTTCCATTAGTTACTGGATGAAGGCTCTATGATGACAGTTAGGGCATTCACCAATCTGATCACCGGGGTAGGCCAGCTCAGGCACCCCCTCCACCACTGCTAGTAGTCTAAGATGAGGTCATCCTTGTGGATTCCTGGGAATTTCCCTATCACCCAGTTTCTCCTTATTCCCATGATGTCTCCCTCTATCATGGTATCTTTTTCATTGCTCTCCCACTCCATCTCTGTTCCAGCTCGACCATCGAATTCCCTTATGTTCTCATCCCCCATCCCCTACTCTCTACTGCCCACATCTCATCCCCAGTTTACTCATCTATTTCCCCTTCCCAAGGTGATCCATTCATCCATCTTTGGGTCATCCTCCTTGTTAGCTAGCTTCTCTGGAGTTGTGAGTTGTAGTCTGATTATCCTTTGCTTTACATCTAGTATCCACTTATGATTGAGTACATAGCATGTTTGTCCTTCTAAGTCTGGGTTACCTCACTCAGGATGATATTTTCTAGTTCCATCCATTTGCCTGCAAATTTCATGATAATTTGACCACATTTTTTATCACGCAACTTATAATGCATGCTCAACATACACTATATACTTGCATGAAAATTGCCTTAAGTAACCTTGTATAGTAAAAAAGTTAAAAAATCACTTGCCTTTTAGTAATTACTTAGTTTAATAGACTACAGAAGTCATGCTGTTATGAACCGGTTTGTGTAGATGAAAGAGCTATCTTTCATTTTACTGTAAATGTCTAATGATTTGTGAACCTTTTTTTCCCCATGATATATTAAGCGTCGGGTTTATTGAAGTAGACAGTGCCATCTTAGAGGATCAATTTACATTGCTGTGGGGTTCAGCTTTGAAAGTCTTCATTGCCAAATATTCCTTAGAGTTGAGCTTCTCATTATAAAAATATGTAAACAATTATATCCCAAACCACCAACAACTGAAAAAGCCACAGATTCCTCTGCACAAGGTGTGTGTGGAGCATCTACAAACAGGGATGTTAAAACCTTACCATGACACAGTGAAGCTCCAGGCACACGGTAGACAACACCTATATGAAGTTTTAGGACCTTCAGAAGGAATGCTGAAGCTGGACTTGGTTTAATAATGAGCAGTAGCTCGAGGACGTAGATCAGTTTTCTAATAGAGATGCCAAATGAAGAATAGCATGGTGTTTAGAGTAAGGGCCGACTGATGGACTGGATCACTATTGTAGCTAATAGAGGTTTAGGAAGATCCTGAATGTAAAGTTGATTTCTGGAATGTAGCGATGAACACTCACCTTTTGGAAACAGGGGCCCCCTCTCTGGCATAGAACGGAAAATGGGTACCAAGCGTTTCTCCCACATGAATTTCCTTTGTGCATGTTAGCATAGGTGGTCTGCACATGACCATGAGGACAGCTAAACTAGCAGTTCTGCTTTCTGCTTTCACTTAACCCAGGGACTCTGAGGAGTCTGACGAGAGATGATTTATAAAAAAGTTGGAAAGCGACGGAAAGGCCGCGTAGCGTTAAAACGAATAACTTTGGAGTGATTCGTGCTGTGTTAAGCATATCAGCTCCAGATTGCTGAAGGTTTCAGTGCCTCTCCTTCAGGTGCCCAACTGAATCTCTGTGCTCTGTGGGGTTTCTGCTGCCCCCTGACAGCATGCTGCTGAAGTAGTTGCTCTTCTGGTTGATGACTTCTGACTTCTTTCTTTCCACACTCAAGCATTGCTTTGCTTGGAGAACGCAGCTAAAGAGCCTCTGAGAATAAAATCACATGAGTGAAACATCTTCTTACCACCATGAAAA